AAACTGTGGGTGATGAATGTGGTCCCCACTATCGCCGACATACTTTGGGTGTTGTCTTTGAGAGGGGCTTGATCGGAATTTATCACGATTGGTAACCTTTCCTTTTTTTCTTCTTCACATTTAAAAACAAGAATAAAAGTTGCAGAATATTTATTATTATATTGGGGAAATTACACAGTTTGATGATGTCGATAATTAGTTTTTTTTTTTTAAATTTTATTTTATTTCAGGTGCGAAGGGTTTTCTACTTATCCAAGGACGTACGACCTCATCCACGCGAGTGGCGTATTCAAATTATACCAGGACAAGTAAGCACACACAATTCCACCATTGCTTTAATTCTTCTTGAGGATGTTTTCGGGTTGTAGAATATTCAAGAAACTATTTGTTCATTATCGGGTTTATGAAATTTTATCTAGAAAAGAGAGAATGTTTATCAGTTCGAAATCGGCTATCGAAATTGGAATGATTTGTTTTTTTGTTTTGTTTTCGTGTTTTTTCAGGTGTGAATATGAAGACATTTTGTTGGAAATGGATAGAATATTAAGGCCGGAAGGGTCAATAATATTCAGAGACGAAGTTGAAGTAGTGAATAAGGTAATGAAAATAGCAGAAGGTATGAGATGGGATACTAAAATGATGGACCATGAGGACGGCCCACTTGTTCCCGAGAAAATACTCGTCGCCGTCAAGCAATATTGGGCTGCTGCTCCTGCCAACGAGACTTCCACTTCCGACCAATAAACCCACTGCGTATCTATACTACGACAATCTCAGAATTATATGCATTTTTATTAATGTTATACCTTTGCAAGTAATTAAGTTGGTTCTTCACAAGTAACATTGAAACACCTTAGTAACGAGTAGGTGTTGGATTTTCATTATTTATTTATTTTAAATTAAATCGAGTGTGACCAGTTTTTTGGCATTGATCAATTGTATCTAAGTTTACTGTATTTGTTGAGTTATTAATGGAGAAATAAAAATAGCAAAACTGGTCTTCATGTTTGATTTGTCAATTTTTTTTAATATGGGGTGTTTTGATCGTAACTTTCTCATACGAAATCCGATTGCAATGGTTCAAGTTGCATTTGAAAGCACGTACAAATCTACATAATTTGTGTTTTGCAATTTCTGACACTTAATTCTGACTATGATTGAAATAGTGCGACAGCATTATGTCTACTACGAAAAAAATAACGTAAAAAGTGTTTTCGGTTGAATATCCCGCCGCGCTCAACTGGTTTTCTAACTTGCTGCTAATGATAGATAGTGAAAATCATTCTACATAGTGTCTACTTGCTAGCTAAGATTTTATGCGTAGCTTCGAAACTTTTAGTTGAGCCTATTACTAACTTTTCCCAGTCATTACCAAGGTAGGTTTGAAACTGGTAACAAAATTGAAGGCTTAATTTCACTTTGCAGCCTTGAAATGCATCATTTTGGCACTTCGCACCCTCGAAAATAATAAATAGTATTTTGCACCCTCAAAACATGTTTAATCGTTCAAAGTGCATCCTAATATATTTTTCGGCCATAATTTTCCGTCGTTAACTTATTTTTTGATCGTCAATATGGTCATTTTTGTCTATTCAATTGATTTTTTCTTCAGGATGCAAAGTGCTAATGTATTTTCGAGCGAAAATAACTCTGTTGACAATCAGAAAATAGATCAACAATGAAAATTCATGACGGAAAATAAACTAGGGTGGAATTTGAACGATTGTACATATTCCGAGGGTGCAAAGTGCGATAAACTATTTTTGAGGGTGCAAAATGCCAAAATAGTACATTTCAAGGGTGCAAAGTAAAATTAAATGTATAAATCTCTCATTTCAATTAAGCTAATTCAATATGAAATGTTGTAAACAAATCAATATGAAACAAATTTTGTCGTTAGTTCAACCGTAACTTTCTCATACAAGCTTGGTTTTAAAATAATTCTAGTTGCTTAAGAAAGCCCGTAGAAAATACATTCGATTATGTGTGCTCCCGTAGAAAAGACATTCTATTATGTGTGTTCTGCAAATTCAAGATTCGATTTGTATCCCGCTAAGAAATCAATGCAAAATGTTTTAAACAAAATGACAATATTCTTGATGATCGAATTTTTTTAATTCTTACGATCATCGGGTGTACTCATAATCCCCTTGCAATCTATGGTTACGGCAAAACTGAATTAAATCAAATTCGCGAGAGGGAATTTAATAGTAATCACCACTTGCTATAAGTTACTGCCAAGGATAAATGGCAAATCTGCAAACAACCTAATAAAGCAAAACTTCGATAATAATAGAATACATCAATCCGCCAACAATAGTGTAAGAACATAATATCTTACAGAAATAACAATGGAACGAAAGTGTCGTGACTTCAAATTAAAGAGATACGATAAATCACACGGCAATCTTGAAGAGGGATTTTATCAAGGAAACGAACAATCACTACTCACACGGGATACAAATACCTCACACAACATAATTACAGTTCGATAATCAAAAAACACAATTGTGACACTTTTGGTGCAGCGTCAAATAATATCAAATCAAGTAGGGCGTCACGTCACATAATGATGCAGCAGCGATTTCTTTCCTCAGATGGCTGAGTTGCAGATTGCTGGTACCTGTTCGACTCGGACGGGTTGTACGTAAATTCTGAGGTATCCAGCCCATACTGTTAACACAATTATTACGTCAGATGTTGGATCTGGGTCTAGTTTTTTGACAACTTTATTCAACTTTAGAAAAAAAAAGAGACAATCACCCAATTATTTCAGGCAAAACTACTAAATGACCGAAAGAGAACAAAATAATGCTGACAAAATCATACGACCCCAAACATCTAATGTATTATTTAAGCGGCACGCTAAGGATTGCACATCCCTAATTTCCAACTCAGATCAAAATAGACATAATCAGCTGTCTCTGTGTAACTTATCACATACCCATCTTCTAATCCAACATCAGCATCAGCTAATAGTTTGTGTTCGTCACCCAAAATCCAAAGATATAAAGCAAACGAGCCGTATGATATTACGTGTGAGGAACTACCGTTTTCTCTTTCCCTCTTTCTATTTGCCATATGAAACTAGAGCGAGACACTCCCCAAACTTATAGATTGTGGGATCTAGATAACCGGAGAGCTTTTATTGAGCTCTTAATGTCATATTTACTAAAAAGGTAAACTGTTTAAAGATTTTTTTCTAGATGGAATAGAAGAAAGAAAGAACAAGCTGCACCCCTTTAAGGAAATCAAATGAACATCACAGAAACATGCTTGTGAATATGTATTTGTGTAAGCTTATTGTTCGTTTCTTGCCCAATGCTCCCCACATGGCCGATTAGCTCTTAAAGGTTGTGATTTACATAAACTACCGTGCTCACTTGTCCTTGGCAGAATATGAAATTTGATGATAAATGTCTGCAAGGCAAACTTATATAGACTGCAAAATGGTGAATCAACTAATACGTCTTTATAAGGAGCAAACTTGTGGTTTGGTGGTTGAGTGGTACCACTCACTACCATACTTGTGGTTGAATGTTCAGAGTTCGACGGATTTAGTTTTGTATGTTTGTAAGACAATTTATAAGGTCAACTGTGCAATGAATATATATATATATATATATATATATATATATATATATATATATATATATATATATATATATATATATATATAACGTCTTTATACTATTCAAGCTAAAATTACTCAAAATTATGCAGTTATTCAGTTAACCGCACTACACGTTCTGTCTTTATGAGATTATACATGGATTGGAACTCAATAGACGTTCTGTCTTTATTGTTTTAATCAATCAGTAGAGACACGCAGAAGAGAGAGAAACACACAACTCTGTTCTATGTACATATCAGTGAATGTATATTGGTAACAAAAGAAAAAAAGAGGGGATTTTGTTTATTACGAATGAGGGTTCAAGATCATATTGGTCATGGGTTGAGAACGGGAATTGAACTGTAGGAGGTTTGGGTTCTTGAAGAAGGATTTGATGCTGATTTTTAATACCACAAACTCTAACAACAGTAAATAATCCAGATCTCGAGACAAATCATATATTACTTTTTTGATAATGGAACCGCAATTGGTATTTGACACATAATTAACCAGACTGGTTCTTACCGTAGCTGTTAGGCTGTTACCCCCAACTATATACAACCTTAATGTTTCTAGTATTGAGGACAGGCCTGTCATTACGTGGTCTAAATAAATTAGCTTGAAATATCTTAAAAGGCGAAGTTCAAATATCACCACATTTTTTTAAACAATCTTAAATTTGTAAACATCTTATATTTTTACGTACAGGGTCTTCTCCTGAACATTTTATCTAATAACCTAAAACATGTTAGAAGCACCTGCACATCTCGTAAAATATTTTTAACCTTGGCTGAATACCATCTTTACCAACACGTAATTATCAAGTCCATATAAAACAGGAAGGAAGACATGTTATTCTTCTAAGAGCTTAATAAGGATTCTATTGTTTCCAGCTTCATGCGAGCTAAATTCTAAGCATTGTTACTTGTATTCGTTGATTAGCACTTAATCCATTATTAATAAAAAAATCATCGAACAGCTAAATCAAAAACAAAACGTAACATGAAATCGAAAAAAGATTCTCTCAAGAAAAGTAATGTATTGACAAGGCAAAAAAGGAGTAAAGACATTTGTCACCTTTTCCCTCATACGAGTACTCCAAGAGTCAGTTCTGCTTGTACGCTGGTCTAGGTTGTTAGTGACAGGGGGGCCAGTGACTGGACCGCCAGCAGGCCTATTTATCAATGGCTGTCGGATCTGTTGTCTGGACCCACCTATATATTCTTCATCACTATCATAGTCCGATGGGCTATTGGCAGCCCTTACAATAAGTGCTAACAAAAATATAAGCGCCTGCGCATTTTCATTATCGTTAATACAATTGGAAACACTAATGAATTCAAACAGCTTTAACAATCTAAAACTTAACTATAGATGCCAAACATTTATTCCTGACATTAGGACCAAATATACCACAATTTCATAGCACGGTCTATAACTAGATCTGGTATATGACCTTAACTGAACTTGCATAACCAACCATTTGGTAATTGACATTGGAATTCATAGATGATATAAACATTTGTATAGATAGCTAAGATCTTTGTTGTCTAAACTGCAACAGTAGCGTGGCAAAAGAATTTTATTACATGGATAACAAATACAGTATAAACATTTAGATACATGTATATGAGGATATGGCCTTACCTCTAGTATAACAGCACCGAGAGCAACCCACTTGACAATTTTCCAGTGGTCATCCAGAAAATCATATATCATAGAAAATTTCCAGTCTTGTCAGTTGGAATTTCCTGTGCAGTTTACATTTTATCAGAGTCCCGAATAATAAGAGTGGAACTAAAGACAACAAATATAGTGAAACTTACGTCTTTCCAGTCATCGTCAAAGAATATAAAAGCAGCAAATCCCAGCTCGGCCAAAATCAACAAGATCACCAGTAATGAATACTTTATTATCTTAAGGAACCCCAATCATGACAAAAGAATAAATCACAATGTCGACAATCATTTCTTTGATTCTATACAGCTTAAATGTTCACAACAATGTCCAACAGAGACAGAAATTGTTAATCAAATTCTCAACGGTTAGCATTTTCGCAACTAATGCAAATGCTTACATTCTGCACAACGAGACAGCTTGACCATTTACATGCTACATCAGCAATTCAAGTCATATGAAATAAAATAATTTAGTGTAGCAGACACTTCAGCAGTATAAAATAAATAGAAAAGGATACACAAGTGAGGCAGCAGCCGTTCCGTGTAGCAGTTCCAATGCAACCACAACAAGCAATGAAAAGAACAATTCCACCAAGCCCAATGAAAAGATAAATAAACCTGCAACTCAAGTCAACATATTCATTTTCCAGAAACAAAATATCATTAAATAACTAAAGACGAGTAGTTGTTCGCATAATTACCATGCTTTGGGCAGTTTGTCGAAAATGTTATCAGCCAAAGAAACAGCTAATAGCATGGGCCGACCGAGCTGTACAAAAGCATCGG